AAAAGTGTTGGCTTGATGGATTATTTACTCTGAGCTGTTTCATTCTACCCCCATTTTAATAGAAATAACAGAAAATACTGAAGAAATCATTTTCTCCCCCATTTTTTTCCAAGACAAAAATTTGAAACAGCTACAAATATTTATTGTATTCTCCACATTCACCTACCGATTCTCCTATTGGAGGTCTCTGTTCTTACCTAAGTGTAGACGAATGCAGTGCTACTAGAGTTTATGATAATGCGTTATAGCAAGGGTCAGCAAGCTACAGCCAGATTTGTCCCACAGCCTGGTATTGTAAATAAAGCTTTACTGAAACACCTCCACGTCCCACTCATTTAGGTATTGTATGGCTGCTTTCATGCTACAAGGACGGAGTTAGGTAGTCATGACAGACCGTATGCCATGCAAAGACTAAAATGCGTACTGTTTTGCCTTTTACACAAAAGCTTCGCAGACCCTGCATTAGAGAATCCAAAAAGGCTTAAAATTAGGGCTTCACTAGAAAACTTCTTTTAGTTGAGCCTCTCACTAGAGCACCTTGTGCCTTTTTTACTTTTTTCAGTGGGTGAGTGGACTTTTAACCTGAAAACCCAATATAAATTGAGGTTGAGGGCATAAACTCCACAGTCAGCTAACCTGAGTTTAAATCTCAGCTGTATGACCCTGCACAGGTTACTTCTTTTTCTAGTGCTCATCTCCTCATTTGTGAAAAGGAAATGTTTGAAGTGCTGCCTCATAGGATTATTATAAAGATAAAAACAGATCATTCTAGGGAAGAGGAGGCATTCTGCTGGATGGCTTTTTAAAACATTTCCTCCAGAGTCATCTGCCTCATTAACAACAGTTTTATCTTAAAATTATTTTCTAAGTTCATAAACTGACATGATTTCTTATTCTGTTATGAATGCATACTGCCCTAGTCCTTCAATCAGCCCATAATATGTGTTTTTTGTTTGGTTTTTGGTTGGTGGGTGGGTGGGGTGGTTTGTTTGTTCATTTATTTAGAGATGGCATCTCACTCTGTCACCCCGGCTGGAGTGCAGTGGTGTGATCTTGGCCCACTGCAACCTCCACCTCCCAGGTTCAAGCGATTCTCATGCCTAAGCCTCCCGAGTAGCTGGGACCACAGGTGCATGCCACCATGCCCAGCTACTTTTTGTATTTTTAGTAGAGATGGGGTTTTGCCATGTTGGCCACTCCTGGCCTCAACTGATCCACCCACCTTGGCCTCCCAAAGTGCTGAGATTACAGCCTTATGAGCCATCGTGCCTGGCTCCATCATATATGTTTTAATCCCTGTTACCTGAGGTCAGGTGTAGAATTTTCCACTTGTGGTGTCATATTGGTGCTCAAAAAGTTTCAGATTTTGGAGCATTTCAGATTTAAAATTTTCAGACCAAGGAGGTTCAGCCTGTATTCTGCCCCGTATTTACCCTCCAGGAAAACTTGGATTCTTGTTTGGGCTTCATTTAACTAGACAAGGATGTGATAATGATCAGCATCTCTGTGTTTATAAATCATAGGCTGCAAGTTACTTCTCTGCACATTTTCTCGTTGACTGCTACTTTCAGTCTTTTTAGGGTTTGACAGTTTGAAGAACGAATCTCCTAACAGAAACCCAGAAGAGACATTTAAAAGACCCTACCCAAGCTCTTAGAATTGTCAAGTGCTTGCCAAACAGGCCAGTCCAACATGACAGGTCCCAGTAGGGCCCAGAGCCTGAGGCTGAGAATCCCGCAGGCCTGCCATGCTGCTCCCAATGACAGCATTTTGTATTTAATGCATATTTAGTGGGCAAAATAATGCACCGTGAAAATGTGCGAATGCACATTTGCCCAAGAGATTAGAGAGGCTGAGAAAAAGGGTGTGAAGAACATAATGGATGTTTAAGAAACTTCCATGAAAGGAGAGAAAAGGGAAAGTGTTAGTGTCAAAGCATAACTTGCAATTTGGGAGCTTGTCCTACTGGAACTATACTTTTGAACTTGTAGAATATTGAGTGGCAGCCTGACTCATTGGACTTCAGAGCTGCTCAGATGTCACTGCTACCCATGTCTTGAATAGTTTCTTCATTGCCCTGAGTCTCAGTTTCCTAGTCTATGGAAATGGGCGTTGTATATACTTCACAGGATTATTGTGAGGAGTAAATGCAAAAATGTTCATGAAGGTATCTAGTTCATTTACTAAGTACCTAGCAAGAGCTCAAGGAATAATGTTTCCTTTCCCTTCATGATGAATTCTTACAATGAGAACTATCATTTGCATGAGTGATTTGTTTTTAGCTCACGATGCTATCACCCATATTTTACCAAAAATTTAGCCCAGAGTCATTTTCCCCCAATTCCCCCCCACCCCGCTTTCTTTTCTTCCTTATCTCTCCATAAGTGCATGAGAAACTGGACCAACTAATACCAGCTTCTCATAAGTGAGGCACAAAGGCCAAAGGGTGAGAAATGTGAGCTAAATCAACCATGGGCTGTGAGTCCTTGAGGAGGACCCATTTGTCATTGTCTACAGGGATGAAATGAAGGCTCTCACCAGCTTGGGTCCCAGAGGATAGCAGGTGGTGGGGTAAAACCCCCGACACTGGCTGCAGTCTGGTTGAGCTCCTGGCCCTAGAGAAACTGCTTTTCTGATAAAGTTGAGCAACCCAAAATGTGAGGGCTGGACCGTTGATATGGCCCCATGAGCAGCAGCTGAAGTGATAGTCATTGTGGTCTAGTGGAACCATCACTGCACTAGGAGTTCAGAGATGTGTGTTGTGGACCACTAACTAGGGCTTCCCCTATCCGACATCCTCACCGTGCTGACGACCTCCATGTTGGGTAGGGAAACAGTTAAGCCCTCTTAGCTTTCGTATTCTGTTTCTCCAAGTAAAAGAGCGCTAGAAGAAAATGAGATGGGCACTTGTGTATATGGGCATTGATTAGGGATAGGTGAGAGCAAGGATGCATGGTTGGCTGGAATGAGACTCTGCAGAGGTGCTGTAGAACAGACACATGAGTTGGCTGTTAGGCTCAGGTCCCCAGTATTGGCAGTTCTGAATCTGTTTGCAAAGCGATGCAAGAGAGATGGTGGAGTAGGAACAAATTAAAGCATGCCTCCGCCTTATATGTGGCACTGAGGTTGGGCCTGGGTGTTTTTAGGCTGGCCTAGGTTCAGCCTTGAATCTTTACCCTCTGGGGGATCATGGTCCATGGTGTTTTATTGCTTATGCTTCATTTCCACATCCACAAAAGGTGTTGTAATGCCCACTTCGTGTGGTTATATTTGATGATTTAATTAAAGGAAACAAGATACCTGTCCCATAGCATCTAGTGCAATACTTGTCACAAGTTGACTCTCAGTCGTAGCTGCTCATGCTTATTGTCAGATTTCAGTATTTTGCTAGAAATGTGGAAACCGCCTGGATAGAATAAGGTAAAGATTCTAATTAAATGTTTTATAAAGAAGAATCCATTTCCCCCTTTTTTGGGTAATTTCCTCACTTTGTTTTCACTCCATTCCATCATTTTCAGAACACCAATTTGCCCTGGCTGGATTCAGAGCTAGGGCTGACACTATGCCTTACGCTAGAGGGGTCCAATGAGGACAGAGTCCAATCTTTGATCCACAGACAGCAACCCCCAACCAAGATTCACAGCCCATTTTGTATTCAACTTGGCATTTCTCATCCTATTCTTTTTGTACCCCACAGAGGACAGGATGAGAGGCCTGGGTGACAATTACAAGAACGAGGCATTTACTTGCACCTAGCAGAGATCTTTTGGCAGGGAGGCTGATTAGACCCTTTATTAACGTCTCAGATATCTCTCAGAGTTTTTTCAGGGTTGATTCTTTGTTATCTCTCCAACAATATGTGTGCTGGTGGCAGGGCGGGGGTCTGATTGTTATGCTATGATATTATATCGTGTACCTTTTTCTCTTTATATGGGATACGGTATTCATATTTTTGATGGCCTGTCCTTTAAAATCACTCTTTAAAATTATGAACTGAATTGAAAACATTTCACTGAATTATGCTATCATGCTGACTTGGCAAAAAGAAGCCTAAAACTTGGAAATGGTGATTGATATTTTAGAGGCATTAAAAGTCTTTAAAACAGATTTGTCAGTTTCCTACCTACGAATCTGTAGTTCACAGAATCTAATTCTTATCTATGTTAATGAGCAATCCAATAAAATTGAATGGTAACCCCTATAAATAATATTTAGGAAAAATTTATCAATATTCACTTCTCCTCCAGAGGAAATGTTGCTGTGAACACATTTTGCACCTTGTTAGAATTTCTCTGGGTTTTTATTGAGTGAGTCTGCTGTGGGCCAATATTTATCCACATCTCCAGGTTCAGCATAATGTGATTTTAAGTGTCCACAACATTAACCTTTGAAAAATGGAGGAAGTCATGGAAAAAACTAACAAAGAAAAACAGTGCCATAGCAACTGCTGTTAGCAACATCACATCTCCTACTGACAAATTATCAGAAAAATTTTTGGGGCTTTGGTTGTAGAATGAAAAAGTATGATTTTCATGTCTGTATTTCTTTGCTGATATGTTTTCAAAATTGTTAAAAACTGATGTTTGCCTTTGCTTAGTGGAGATAGTTTAACACTTTCCTCTCTGTCTCTACCTGCCCACTTCCAGGTGGTGCATATGAAGTCAAACAGCATCGATTCTTCCGTTCTTTAGACTGGAACAGTTTACTGAGACAGAAGGCAGAATTTATTCCCCAACTGGAATCTGAGGATGACACAAGTTATTTTGATAGTATGTGCTTTATCTGACATAAAATATTGTTTGGCCTTTACTCGATAAATAATTACCTTTGCTTTTGAAACTCTTCATCTGAGTTCTTAAACATAATGCTGATTCGATACAGAAACTCATAATTAAAATATCTAAACACTGAAAATCTGAGTAATTGGACCTGTTCCCAAACATTTCACTGCAGCTCGGTCTGAGAAGTATCATCATATGGAAACGGAGGAAGAAGACGACACAAATGATGAAGATTTTAATGTGGAAATAAGGCAGTTTTCTTCATGTTCACATAGGTTTTCAAAAGTAAGTGAAATGTGGCATAAACATACAGAGTCTCTCTGGGAGGATCTCCCGCTGGCCAGATAGTATCCCCGAACAGCTGGACACTTACTCTTTTCCAGGGTTTGAGGTCTCCTATGCCCAAACTTCCTTTTTTGTTGAAGAAAAGTGATCCCCTCAACTTATAGTCTGTCCGTATGCTACTGTGAAAATATATTTCTCTCTCCATGAATTAAGATCTTGTTTTCTTAGGGGCATAGCCTTGCACCCAAAGTCTTGTTTTTGAAGTGTGTAACTGCTACTTATATGATGACTTTGCCTTGAATGTCTCATCTGGCTCAATGCCAGGCTGTAGAGGCACCACTCGTTGCTTTTAACTTAGGATGACGAGTGCCAGCTTCACTGTGTGCAGAGTCATCTCCTAGGGATTACACAGAGTACAACAAAAGGAGAAGGCTCAGTCCTTGACATAAGCAAAGATACCTGGGGACAGTTGACTGTAAGATTGTAAAGTCTCGTAACTGCCGGGCATGGTGGCTCACACCTATAATTCCAGCACTTAGAGAGGCAGAGGCAGGAAGATAGCTTGAACCCAGGAGTTCGAGACCGGCCTGGGCAATATAGCAAGTTCCTGTTCTCCACAAAAAGGAAAAAAAAAAAAAAGACTCGTAACCAGTAAACAGAAATTATAAGCCATATTGAAAAGGCAGTAGGAAGCCAAGCTAGAATCATGAAAATGGTAGAAGATAATAAAGCTGATGATTGAGAAAAGATGCCTTTTTACCAGAAGAGGTAAGATTAAAAAAATAATTAATCAAAACAAAACTGATAGTTCTGAGACAGAACAGGGCCCTAGGAAAAATGGAAATCAACGTGAGGGTACCCTACCTCCCTTTTGCTATTTTCAGTAGCTACATATTTTCTGTTGCCATGGCATTTTGCATGATTGTCATTTAGCTTTTCTATAACATTTAGTGATTTTAAAGTGCTCTGTAGCTTTTTCTAAATGATTACCTAGATGCACCTGCAAATTGGCCAGCACTACCCTCCCTGTTTATGGGAATGGCATTGAGGTAAGGATTTCCCTGGAGAAGGTGGTAGCCAGTCTGTCCTAGAGCCAGGACAGAAGCTTTGCTAAGTGTGGACTCAGACCAGGACTGTTCTCTGGGCCATCAAAGACAACAAAGCCAACCCCTAAACACTGCTTCCCTCTTTGCCTTGGTGGGTATTGCATTTTCCCACTGTCTCCTGTTCTTTAGCCACTTTCCTGCTATTCCTAGTAGATTACAGGAGGCCTCAGGGCCATTCCCATGAGAGCAGCAAGTGTCTGAGCAGGGCAGTAGGGAGTGCTTCCTACCCTAGGCTCTTAGACCCCCATTTTACCTTCTCTCTTTCCTATGAGACAACAGAGGTTCAGAGATAGCTGAGACCTTGGGCTTACCTGAGATCCGATCCCCTTCAGGAACCCCGGCACCAACATAGGAAACTGCCTGTCTGTAGATGTGATTTGTAAGCGAAACAAATACCTCTGGCTCTTACAACAAAATATGTACTGCATCCCTGCCACACCACCACCGAGTCTTGAAACAGATAGTTTATTCTTCTGTTGGCACTCAATTCCAATTCATTTTTCTTCTTCCTACCCCTGACTGGTGGCCATTAAATCTTTTTCTCTGTTATTTTCTTTTTCCAGTTGACTTCATGGTTAAAAAGTAATCAAGATGTGCATTGATCCCGAGGCCTAGAACTCCACTGCATCTGTGGATTTTGTTTGCAGATACAAAGTCCGCAACAAGATATGATGAGAGGATGATGAATTCATAGCTCCCTATTTGTATATATGTACACACTCACACTCACACTCACTCACCCTGACCCTTCCTCTCAGGATTCTGGTCAACAACACTGGAAAGTACTTTCTGAATACACAATTTCAGTTCAGAATTTAGTTATCCTCTCAGGTTTTCCTCCCAAGACTTGGAGTGTTTTTCTGACAAACTCTTTTTAGTAGATATTAATAGCACCAATTATTTGCCTTCCAGGTTTTCAGCAGTATAGATCGAATCACTCAGAATTCAGCAGAAGACAAGGAAGACTCTGGGGACAAAACCAAAAGCACAACCTTGCCATCCACAGAAACATTGAGCTGGAGTTCAGAATATTCTGAAATGTATGTGAAATGCCTCTTAAGTAATATAAGCAGTAGCTACTAGAGCAGAGTTTCTTAAACTTCAGTGAGCATCAGAATACCTGGGAGACTTGTTAAAACACAGATCTCCCACCTCCAGAGTTTCTGATCCAGTAGATCTCGGGTGGGGCCTGAAAATGTGCATTTCTGACAAGTACCCAGATTATGCAGATGTTGCTGCTCTGGGTACCACACATTAAGAACCACTGTGCTAGACATCTCTTGGTTAGGCTTATCTAAGTCCGATTTTCACCTGGTTTCTTCCAAAATTCACCTTTAACACAGTTTTCTAGTATGTGTATATGACTTTGTTTTTGCTTTTAATTAAGGCAACAGCTATCAACATCCAACTCTTCAGATACTGAAAGCAACAGACATAAACTCAGTTCTGGCCTACTTCCCAAACTGGCTATTTCAACAGAGGGAGAACAAGATGAAGCTGCCTCCCGCCCTGGAGACCCCCATGAGGAGCCAGGAAAGCCAGCCCTTCCCCCTGAAGAGAGTGCCCAGGAGGAGCCCGAGGTCACCACTCCAGCCAGCACCATCAGCAGCTCCACCCTGTCAGGTAAGCCTCGGGCCATAGTGCCTGCTGTCCTCCTCACCACACTAAGTGACTCCTAGCGCTCGGTCCCAGGGATGGCCTTGCCAGGCAGTAAAGATGGGTGTTTTACGCTGCTAGACTTTCTCCATGACCTCAGTCCTTATGCTTGGGACACGATCTTCTGAGATCTAAGATGAGATATCTCAGACTGCTCCTCAGTGCTCAGCCATGCAGCAAACTGTTATTGCTTCGGTTTGACCTTGGGGCCAAATTTCACCTTCTCAGCCAGGTTGCAGGGAATCTTTTGAGGGAAATAAGTCAGAATATGCTAAGGGAGTGTGTTCTCAGTTGTTGATGCACAGGTATGTCTTATGCAGTTGCATCTAACTCAAAGTTCAGTGTGAGAGCCAGTATCCAGTAGTCAGCTTGTCAAAATTACCCTTGAAGATGTCTTGAATCACCCGTAAGGCACAGTATAAACCCAGGTTTCTCTCTAGCATTGAAATAGATGGTTGTTTCTTTGGCTTTTGTTAAAGGGTTATGTTGTACCAAATAATTTCTCTCTCCACACTAGACTCAGGCTCAGTGCAGCGTAACACTTAATGCTGTCCTGGTCCATCTAGGACTAAGGAGGGGAAAGGGGAGTCAGAAATACCAACATGATTTAAATTGGTATGTTACGTGCATATGAAATAACTCCACTGAAGACAAAAGTTACCTTCCCCATCTCTGGGTAATTGGAGTAAGAAACTCCTGAGACATCTTTGCATGTTTGAGAGGCAGTTAAGTGGGCTTGGGCCTTTGAAAGCACTTTTTTAATGTTACCTTTGTGTGATGTAACCTTCCTGACAAGAGGAACAGTGTCTTCACAGATTTTTTAAGGAGCTTAATATATCGTGGATACTTGCTGGTCATTAATAATGGAGGTATCCTCACTAGATAATCAAACTTGCAATTAACTGCCCCAGAACAAGCCTCTTAAGTTCATTTAAAGTATCATTTGGTTTATGAAAATTTTATGCACAGCATGTTCTTCTATAGAGTATGTGCATTTATGCTTTTTCAAAAAGTAAAAGATGTATATGGCTTAGAATTGCTATAATGAATGTTTTCATTAAGCTACATTCAATATGCTGTATTGATAACCATGAATGATTCCAATATTTTTCATCAACATTTTTTAAACTAAGTGAATATTCATAGTGTAAGCTTTTTTTTTTAATCATTTCAAGAAAAACAAATTTTATGGACTGGATTTATTTCAACCTCACTAAGAAGTTTGGATCTGTGAAGCTTCACATGTGCTTATAGTTTATTGTGGAGGAAAATAATGTTAGATTTTCTTCTCTCTCTTCACTTCAGTTCTGTTTTCATTTTGCATAATTCCACTTATCCTAACCATAAAGCCAAGAGAACAGCAATGAGGAAGTAGTGTAAAGGCAACCTGTTAGACTAAGATTCCTGAGCATCTCTAGCTCATGTCGATGCTCAGATCACATGTAGATATCTTGGTATTTTCTGTTCCTGGTTACAAAAGCCTTTATCTGGTTCTTAGTTACCTTACTCTGAATAGTGTATATTCACCTCGATTTAAAATTTATTCTGAATATAGTGAACTGTTTACTATCTCTTAGTCTCCTCAGCCTACTCACTACTGGAAGAGTAGGAGGGGAAGGGAGGGGAATCGTGTCTAAGCATTTGATTGATTACTTTCATAATTAAAAAAAAATCCACCTAGGTCCTGCCATGCATTTTGATTAATAGATTCACACCATCTTTCTCTCTCTCTCTCTCTCCCCCATACACACACTAAAAATAATCAAAGGCCTTGGGGGCTGTGCAGAATAGAGAGATGAGCTGATTTGCTTATAGCCAAGGGTAATTAGGGAGTCTGAAAACCGTGACTGTAGTAAAATTAAATTTGTTGATTTTTATATTGCTCCACCACCAAAAAGAAGGAACCCTTGACATTTAGAGAACATTAAAGTGACATTATCTACCATTGGTAGAAAAGAAGCTCACGCTTATATGCAGTGCTGCAAAATGAGATGGCAGAGGCAAGGGGGAGAGGTGACACACGGTTGTATATCCACACTCTGGCATTTAGGGAAGTACAACTTTATACCTGTTTCTCTTTTATCATGACTACATTGTGTTTGAAGCCATGCAAAATAAATGTCTTGAAGTCTTAGATGTAGGGGTTGAATGTATCCAACAATTACTCATTGTAAAGAGATTCAACTTTTCATTTTAGACTTGTCAGTGATGCCATCCAAACCAAATTACAAAGAAGCAAGTGTGTACCTTACTCAAAGGGAAGCTTCAGTTTTGTGAGATGAGATTTATTACTTGCGAAGCAGTTTTTATCAAGACCTTCAGTAGTTGATTTCTGTAACAGAATGGAATATACTGTTAAATGAGAATGATCTTATCTTATAGGAGTAAAAAGATTGATACTTGCCTTAACGTTATCTCCCTTTGTTGGTCAGATGGGTGTTATGTGTAAGTCCATGAGTATTTTCCTGTACATACGCACAGTAGATGACCACAAAGTATGTCATGCCTAAAGCCGCTGTCCAAATTCCCAGCTTTCCTTAGCTAGACCACAGCTGTAAGGTCTGAACTTTGTCCATGAGCTTGGGCCAAACTACAACCGTACCACTAAGTGGTGTATAGACGGCAATGTAAGAGAAATGCTGGTTAAGTCTAAGTCTAATTCTTTCCTAGGCAAACAGTGTCATATGGTCAGCACTTCAAAATGTGCTGGCTGCTCTTTCAAAAGATCGTTTATAGTGGTGTGAAATACTCTGCATGGATTGTATCTCTAAAGGTGATGAGGCAGTTGAAGATTTTTAAGCATGGGGCTTATAATATAGCATTTAGAAGTAAAAATGAGATGAGCATTGTCTCTCCTGGATGGACGAAAATGTGCTATCAATGATGTTTTTAAAGAAAAGCAAGATAGAAGATCAATAACCTGGGAAAGAAAGAGTGAGACAAATCAAAAGGAATAGCTGTCCAGCTTCCTTCTGGGGGACTCAACATGTCACCCTGCTGCAGAGCTTTCTTTACTCTCGGCCTCTGCATTCACTGGACCAGCATCAGTGATGTTCCATTTCTGCACCCACCTCCATATTTATCCTCTCTTATGCTCCATTGTTGAGGGAAGTCCTCATTTTTTTAAGTTAAAAATAACTCCAGTTTATATTAAAGATTAACAAAATTAAAAGTAAAGAAGGTGTGGTTTAGAGGGGAGAGGAAATAGCATGAGGGAGGATCAGCATTTGATATGCTGGATTAAAAGCCAGGAGGATGAAGTGAGCTTGAGTAATGAAGAGAGTAATATCCCCTTTGTCTTGCTTGTCGTTTGAAATGTACAGGGAGTTTAGAATGGAGGCATACAGCCTGAGAAGCGAGAAGAGACACGTTAGGCACTTTTCTATCAGTTACTTGCCTCAGTCTAGTATGAGGTGTGTTCTAAGAGCACAGGCATAAGCCTACGGGGAGTGATGAAACAATGTCCACGTGTCAAAATTATGATTAACAGCATTGATAATGATAATCAGTATCATAAGGTAATCACCGTATGAAGTGGGTGGCCATGGTGTTTGGGAGGTAATCTTTGATTCATAGCACAGCCTTTCATGGTATGGGTGGTAGGGGCACCAGAATTGTCTCTGCAAGGTTTCAAAAATATAGATTGTTGAAAGAAACTAATTCCTTTGGTTAAATGGAGTCATGGATTGAGAATTAGCAGACATGTGTACAGGTAGAATGAAGCCTGAATAGACGCCTCTTCCATCTCTTCCTTCTCCACGTCACCTTTCTCAAACCAATCACATGTTGTTAATGTTCGCCTGACACTGTCGGGACTTACCGGCCACATAGGATTATGTTCTCCAGCATTTACTCTTCCTGCTGTCTCTGTCTTCCCCTCTT